CATAAGTTCTAAAGTAGGAACCAACTTGACACCCAAATTAGTTAATATATTCTCCACATATTTCCTCTGGAACTAACAAGAAGAATTTATTTACCAATCAAGATCTTTTTTGGTTGATGATCATTTTCTTTAATCTTGTGATCTTAATGCATGATTCAGGGGTGATTTGGAAGGAGAAATTAGATGCTAGGTACTGTAGGTGGGGGTTCAAAGGTTAGTAGGCAGAACAGAATGATATCAAAAAAGTACCGAAGGATTAACAATGCATGTTTGAGCAAGACTACTATTTTGATAAGAGCTGACAAAAATCAGTGTTTTAACACTGAATGAAAATTGCATAAAAGAAAAAATTGACAACATAGTTACTGGAGCACTGCCCTCTCTTCATCTCTCCATCAACTACACAAAGTTTAATTGTCCTTAATATCACCAATCCTATTACCCACCAATTATAGCAAAGTTTCTTCATTCTTGTATGTGATTTGCCTCTTAATTCTTGAATTTTCAAACTTTTTCCAATACTTAATTACATTGCCAAAAATGTCAGAAATTAGAATTCTATGGAGAAGTCTTCACTCACAAAAGCCTAAATCTGACAGCAGATGAACTAATTAGATTTTTAGTCAGTGATTTCTTTTGCTCCAGGATACGAATGTAATCCTTACACACAGCACATTCTTTGCAAATAGAGACGGATTTTATTCTATTAACAATATACCTCCCGGGGACGAATACAAAATTTAGGTTCTTTCAATTGTACACGAACCATGCACACATTTCAAAACAAGAAAATGTCCATGGCGTGATTTCCTTTATGACAAATCAGAAGGAAAATATTAGAACGATTCCTCTGAGGCAGACTTCAGCAATTAACATTCTCATTTAAGGCTTGCCTTGTCAGTTTAAGAGCTTTTATTATTGTCACAAGAAAGTAATTAAATCACTTGGTGAACAATACAGAGGCAGTAGGATATTCTGCGCTTGTTCAAAATATTATCATCGATCATTCAGTGGTTTGCGTTTCCATGATTAAAAGCCACCACACAAATTGGATTTATCAACAAAGCAAAGGGTAAAGCTCCTTAACAAAGAACTAAAACCATGAGGATTATGAAACAAAGCTTAACGTTTTAAAAGTAGGAGAAAAGCATTACTGAAAATCTTTCACTTTCCTTCTTGTAATATTATTATCCAGAAATTTAACGAACTTATGATGAGGTCTCCTTGGAACCATCAATTATATTTTTGCTAACAACAAGCAATAAAGGATAAAAAAACAGAAATAAGTATTTTTGATACCTTAGACTCAAAATATCTGCTCAAATAGAAATCATAAGGGAACACCTAACTAGTACGTGAAGAAAGACTTTTTTCCCTCTCAGGCCACCATCATTTGATCAAAAAAATGTAATTGTTTAAATCTCTCAAAAGGATGCTAATGAGGTATGCCAACAAGGCCATTAGCACTTCCATCTATGAGTGAAATACCTGGACTACATGACAAAGCAGAACTGTCGGTCAACCCAACAAAACCAGCTGGAAAATTTTCATCATGATATGCTACACAAAAAAAGAGTCATATCCAACAGAAAAGAACAAACCTTGAGTATTTATAGGGTGTCTAAAATACTAAAATATCAATCTCTGCTGTGAATTGACTAATCCATGCTTAATCCTGCCATTCCATGTGATATGAGCGTGAATTGCGAGTTTTCAATACTGGTAATGAGTAGTTACCAAAACATCTGTCTTAAATGTATTTTACTTGGTATCACATCACTCATGCTGTTATCAGTCAATCGCTGGGTGGCCAGTCATTCACAAATCCGAACGAAAACCAAAAAAAAACATTTTGGCGATAAAAATTATGAACAAACGAGAAAGGAGATGCTATTTGGCGCGTTCATTCCACTGCTTGGCCTTTTCATCTTACAGCACAGTAATAACGAAATCGATCTCGAAATGAGTCATACGATTAAAACCACAGAAGTTTAACTATAATGGATTTATATCAAAAAGAGTGCATCTGAGAAAAAGGGAGGGAGAATCAACAACAACTGAAAGAGGAAAATTTCTCGAGAAAGAGAAGATTTGAAGAGTATCAAAGTAAAGACAAAAAATATTTAAGTTGATAGATGGTTTTCTAATTGCAAGTCTTGTAACAGCACTTCTCTTTAAATATCGCAGAGCATCTTAAGCATTGGTTTAAAACTTAACTTGAGTAAATTACTTTGCTTTCTTTTGCCAAACAGAAGAATGTAAATTACCGGCTTCTGTTTGCGTAGGACAAGTGAAGGTTGTAACGCGATCGAACAAAAAATCGTTCGCAGAGCTACATGGCAAAAGAGCATACTTTTTACGTATAAGGAACAGTTACTAGTTCTTCCGTATAAATCTAGATTAAATCTTGGTTTTGAACAATTGACTCAGTAGGAACTCAGTGTGACATAAATTAAAGATGAGGTTTCGTACAATCAAGAAAACCTGATTATTGAGAGACAATCGACAAGCCAATATCTTTCTGGAGATAAAATACGACTAGCGACATTTCTGATTTGAATGTTGTAGTGCGGCGATTTCCACCAAAAAGAAAAAAAACTTAAAAGAAAGGGTGACAAATCCAGGACGAAATGTGTTTATATTGAGGGCTAACTCTTTGTCGTTCGATAGCGTTCCAAATAATGGCCGTAAAACAAGATCATACCAAGAAGTGTATAAACACAACGTTAGGCGCCAGACGGATATGCGTCCTCAAACCAAGCTGCCAAGGATGGAAATGCAAGGGAAAACGAGAAAAAAAGTTTCCCCGGGTAAAATAAGGGTTAAAAAAGGCAATCGCCTGCTATGCACGATCACGATCAAGTTACAGTCCAAGATAAGTGTTCCCTGCTACGAAAATATATCAACAAACCAGATCTTTTGGCTGGCTTCGTTCGGTAGTCCATTTGGAGGTTATGTTTTTTTTAAAAAATTCCATGACAGACAGCTTACCCAAGCAACGACCCTTCCATTAAAGCAAGGCAAATTCATCTCTTCATCGCTTATCTCCTCTTTGACCACACTGCAATAAGAATTAGAAATTATCAACTGAAGATATCGGTTACAGGCAAGCGCGCTATCAAGAGTTTAGCTGGAATGCATAAAATCTGCGCGAAGAAGCGACAAAAAGACTTCGCCTTAGGTTGCTGGAAATAGAAGAAAATTGTTTGAACAAGCGGTAGGTATACAAAAGCGATAGACACAAGAGTCTTTAATCACAGCGCTACTGTAAGCTTACACCTTATGCGCTCGGTATGAGAAGCCGGGAATATTTGACAGCAATATTCTGGAGCTCGTAGCATTCGAATGGATTCCTGTGTTTTTTCAAAACAAACGCAATTCAGAATACGCTATACAAATATAAACCCTTTTAAAAATCAAAGGTGTTTCGCTCGGGAAATGACTTTGGGGCGAGAAAGACAACGTAAACACTGCAAAGAAAGAAATCTACATACAGCGTACAGGAGGTACACATCAACTCACCCGAAATCATCATCCATACTTTTGAAAAAGAACTTGTAACTCGGCCGATTGAGAACATTTTTAAAATCTGAAAGAGTTACTTCTGAGGGACTTTTAGGCAGCTTCACTAGGTACGGCGTATCTTCATCGTCGATGTGGTAAATAACCTTAGTTTCGTCCATTTTGATCAATACACTCTTCACCACACCAACAAGAACAAGAACTCCTGTTGCATGGCTGGGATGTCAATCACAGTTGAGTCACATGAGTGGTGTCGGCCAATCAAAGAGCGGTGAAACACAATCAAGTTAGACAACAACACATTATCACAAAAAAAATAATGTTCCCGCGAATCTTAAGTAAAAGCAGGTCTTGGTGGACAAAGATCGATAGAACTCGGCGGAGAATTTATGGATCAAGCTGATGGTAAGTGCTGTACTCGTTAAAATACTCTTACCAAATGATTGAGAAATCTACTCCACACGAGTCATGACTCTTTCCGCTGTTAGTAGTTTCAGCACAAAGGACTTCCGACCGCCGTTTTCAGTTAAAAGTCAAATGCCGCAAAGATCAGTGAATCGCAACACTTCATGCATGATTGGATATGTGAATGAGCGAGTTGTACGGATTTAACGAATTTAATAGCATTACGGTGCGGTTAAAACTTGTCTCTGATCATACATCATAAAGACAAGAAACAGGAATCTGTCAGTGAAGAAATCTTTGGTATTTGTTACTTTCTGTAAGCTCTTAATAAAATAACACTCGTCTAAAATACCACAAATGTGTGTTTATTACCTAAAGGTTGTTAATGAAAGGCAAACCCTCCCACACCGGCGTATTTACCCTAGCGTGTTAACTGAAAGCTAAGTTGAGTACTAGAGAAAATTAAATCAACACAATACAAACTTCGTCACAGCCTGGTTTTTGAGGTCAATTGATCCGATTACGTTGCACCTAAGATTCTAATCACGAGCCGGTTTCCTGTTGGATGACTACCACACAGGAACTGTCTGGAACCCAAAATTTCAATGAAAAGTTTAAACGTGGACACCTGTTTACTTATTAGGGAATTCCATCAGTCATTTCAACTTGAAAGTGGTATTGTGACAGAGGTTTTCAATACGTCGTACTAGTTTGATTCAAATTCTGGGCTGTAACTAATCATTCCCGTGAATCATGATGTCTGCATCTTTGGGAAGGTTAAATTCCCAGCATAGAGCAAACATATTTTGTGAGAAGCAATTGAATTTGAATGTATAATTTCCATGGATAAAAAAACGCCTTGGGCTAAGCTGACCCCACAGACAGTTATCTTAAATATACATCCCTCCTTCTCCACATCCTCCAATTTCCTGAGGACGAGCATCTTGACAACACTCATTTGCTTATTGAATTATATTACACTTCAGGGATAATTTGTGGTTAACAGGGCTAATTATTAGGTAAATGATAAATCTGGGCTGTAGACTCTTTTTTTCACAAGTACAGAAAAATAGAGCATAGTTGCAACAAAATGCAAAGCAAAATGTTTATTATTCTTCCACCTCTGTTAAATTTAGAGACTAATAAAAAGCATAGTTCATCAATGGGAATGGCCATTCCCCTCAATTAACTATGTGAAGAGTTAAAAACAAATTTGAATTTCTCCCCCATGGTTTTTTGTTGTTGTTGTTGTTGTTGTTCATTTTAAAGATTTAAAATAAGGCAAATGCAGGTCTGTTTGGGCTTTTAGCATTACCAGGTTGGGTAGTTGTGCCAAAAGAGAAAGTGAAGCCTTCTGGGCTTTTTGATTGGTGGGTAAAATCTGCATCTCCAAAGATTGAACAACCACTTGCTACAGGTGACAGGTTTGTGCCAAAGAGTCCCATGCTGCTTCTACTCTCTGTAGTTACTGATGGTTCAAAGAGGTTTGCAGCAGGCCTGTCTAAATTAAACTTGCTAGCTGACCCTGCAAAAAGAAAAAGTCAAAAGAAAACTACTCTAGGTACTGGTATCATAGCAAGCATTTGGGACTTGGTAACAAACACTTAAGTAAGGTGACAGTTACTGTAGTTACTGTTACTCCCCTAAGAAGTTGGTTTAATATGTGTTTTATTCTGTTGTGATGTTTAACAACCAGGAAAAAAAACAGGAGAATTGTTATGATCTATCACAAGGGTGAATTCCAGTAATTACCCAGTGTTTGTAATTTAACTTTCTCTTTGGGCACAGATCAACTCTCCAGGTTTTCCCCTGATTATACCAGGACATTGTTACAATATTTTTCATGTAAAAAAAACTTTGCTAATCATATTAATTTAACACTTGTGTTAGGCCTCCACAATACAACAAAATTATTATATTGTCTATTATTCAATTGGAATCTCTGGGTTATTGTTAATTAATTCTCTTACAGAGATATGATTTAATCTTATTGTAAGAGAATTAATTTCCATGTGAAAATGACATTGCAATGACCTTTCTTTCTTTCTTGTTGTAGTAAACCAATTAATCAGGGTATGAACCAAGAAAAATGAGTTTTCCATTAAATTTTATCATTCCCTTGCAAGACATTGGGTGATGATAATTAATAACTCTAAGAGTACAAGAAACACATAATATTACCATTTGAAATCCCTTTCAAATGAAACTGTCATCAATTTTTAATAATTTTTTAAAAAAGCTAAAATAAACATTAAATGCTGAGAGGATCAGAATAGCACATCTTCACTGGTATGATAATTCTTCTTAGGAAGATATATTTAATTTGTCACATAAATACAGGGTTTAAAGATTAATCTTTGATGGACAGTAGCCTTGATATGGTAGATATCCATATCACAGAGTTCGCCAAGTGTCTTCTTATTATTATGATAAATCCCCTGGTGACATCACGCAACAAAAAATGGGTTTTTACAATCCTAAATCCTGCTGAACTTTCAGCAGGAAAGACTTAATAATGTCACACAGTGCAAACATAATAGCCAAAGGTAGATGTCATGCGATCAGACTTATCCATTATTTCTATCATGAATACAATCTCAATGCTCTTTGAATTACAAACCAATTGATCCTGAGGTATTGCTTGTCTCTTGCATGTTGAATAGAAAAGGTGTACTATCTGCACTTGGCTGAAAAAAAAAATTGTAGATCAGAAATTTTTCTTTTTTGAGTATTGTTTTATACTTTGACAATTTCGTTAGTCATCAGAGATTATCGATCTTTACTTATATAATAACTTGTATTTGTAGAAGTCCTTATTACTTTTTGTTTAAACTCTAAATCAGGAATATTGAGAATGCATTGTTCACCTTTTTTTTTAATGGAGTGTCTTAAAACCACAACCTAAGTAATCACAATAGTCAATAAGAACAGAGGGAAAAATCACAAGAGTTCAATGAGAATTAAGGTAAAAACATGCAAACTGCCACGAGCATTGGAAAGTGAGTGTGACCTAGTTGTGATTGGTTTTGGTTAAAAAAGACATCTTTATGATTTAGAAGTGGCACATCTTTTCGAGATCAACTTAAAGCACAGTAGAGCAAAACGAATGCAATCCTGGATTCCTTTCAACACTCAAATTGAAACTCACTCAGAGTAGTAGCTCTTGGATACCTGATTGTTTTCCCCATCCACAGAGCCATGGTTAAACATTGGACGACTTTGAAAGAAGAAACCATCTCCAGGTGATTTGGTGAGCTGCTGGATCATATCTGTGTGCACTTCAAAGTTAAATGGACTTTTGACAACTTCTGGGGTTGAAATGGAACCACAGTTTTGCTGATCTGTTGATGTTGGTGTTGTAGGAAAGACTGTCTGTTCCTCGTCACCATGCAGAGTAGTTGATGTAGTTTTATTAGTCTTAGCTGTTTTGTATGAAATATTAATACATTTGACTTTATTCAACTGGATTTGATAGAAAGCCGAAGAATAGTTAATAAATTGATGGAGAATGTTTTGAGTAGTCACTTTAAGGTCTGTCAACCATTTTTTTGAATTTAATAGTGGCAGAAATTCAAAAGTTCATCCTCTACATTTTTTTACAGCTACAACAATCTTAATGGTAACCATTACAATTTCCTCAAATGTTATCAATGTATTATATTCTACAGAGTTGTAATTGGACAGTGTAATTGGACAGTTGGCTGTATTTGGACACCTATACTGGGACATTTGAAGCAACCAATGATACCAAGTCCATTGAGCTAAATCCACCAATCACAGAATTGACTACAATAACCATAGCAACAACTGCTTACCCTACAAATCTAGGCAATTTCCAACATGGAGGATTTTTTTACTTTAAACAATGCCTAGCTACCAGATATATTGTCTCAAAGTAGATGGAAATTGTAATGGTTATGAGTAATTGGTAACATGACTTTGTATTGTCTAATTCAGTCCATAATCATACTTGTGATTGATAAATCAAACTCCCAATTCGAGGTCATCAGTTTTGTAATCACTCAAAACATATTATTGTAGACTGAGTTGGACTCCATTCAGTCCTGTTACCATTATATATTGAGGTATTTTGTATATGGATGATTGATAAATTACACCACCCTCTATTTGCCAATGTATCACCTAAAGACTGAAGGTGTTGGTCTGTGTAGCTCTCCTCATAAGCTGAACTTGTTTGATCATCTGTGCAATGCCTTCTCTGCTGATTTGGAGTGACTGATAAGTGCTCAGGAGAATATTTCTTCATTGGTACAGCCTCTTTTGGCTGGCATAGCACATTTTGGTCTTCATATGACTCCACTTCCATATTTGACACAATGCTCTCTTGTTTTGAGGACTGATCAAAATCTGAGTGCTCAACTTGCTGTGATATTGTCACTGGGGTTTGAGGTAGAGAGGTATTTCCATCTGGGGAATTGTTCTCTTGATGACTCTCATCCACACATTTTTTGAACTCTGCTTGTTTGATGTTGGCTATCTTAGTAGTGATCCTTTCTATGCAGTCTTCAGTTTTTCTTCTTTCAATATTCAGCTGAGCTCTTTATATCGTCAAAGAAAATAACTTTGAACTGGAGGCCTCCAAAGTGACTATACTTTCCACTGATAGACTGTGCAACAGCACGATTTAACCCATATAATAGTTGATGTTCAGCTTATGTAATAATGTTAACTGATTTTGAGTAATTCAGAAGTGGGTAATTTATCTTGATTTCTGATTGATAAGAAGTGTTGCACAAGGATTATTTTTAGAAGGATACAGTTGGATCATGAGTGGAATAGCAGATGTGATTCCTTTCTTTAGTGATTCTGAAATTAGATCGATAAAGATGCTTTGTTGTGTTTGTGTAACTTTTTAGTCCCTAACATCAGATTAAATATTCTCCACAGTGTTCTTCATACCTCGCCCTCCTATGGTACTAACAAGGAGAATTTCTCTAACTGTTAAGATCTTTATTATTATTATAGGTGGTGATTATTTTCTGTATTCTCATAACAGAAGTGTTAGATTCAGCAATGATACTGTTTGGAGAAATTAGATGCTCTTCACTTTCAGGGGTTAGATAGACAAATCAGCACGGTTTTGATATTGGAAAGCCATCCTAACAATACCATCACCAAATGACACATTTATATTACCTTCTATGGTCGTCTTTTCTTTTTCCATAATGGAAATATCTTCTTCCATTTGCTGGATAGTGGATCGTATTGTCTGCACTAGGAAAAATGAAATGTGAACAACAAATTAACAATTTCCAACAGCAATATGGTATCTTTCAACATTTCTATAATCCCTGGAAGTAAATGAATATGGTGACTGTTGCTGATAACTTACATTCTTCTTTGGTTTCTTTGGTGTTGATCTTTATCTTTGTGAGCTCCTGAGCATTTTCTTTACTTTCATACTGCCTTTTATATCTGTCCCATATTGCCTTGTACCTGTTGAGGATGCTCTGGTTTTTTGACCTAAATGAAAATTAAGGCTAGGATGAAATTCCAGTTATAACTGAAGCAAATTGTAAATGATTTACACCATTTGGAATTATATTTTCTCCCACCTGGCCTTCTCAAGTTTACCAACCACTGTTTCTTTCTTTTTCTCCATGGCCTCCTCGTGTTCCTGTAGAACACAATTGGTTCGTTTCAAGCTGGGTGGGGAACAAGAGAATTAATTGTTGTCAACTTTCAAACGTTTGCTAACTATTTCGTGTTTTTCAGGGAGCAAGTTATAGGATAGTGACTGGTTAGTATACTTTGTTCTGAAAGGGTGGCACACAGTGTGGTAAGAAGATCAGGGGCATCCTAGGCTAATTTTTAAAAATTTTCAGATTAGAATTTGCAAAACAACAATAAGCAATTATTGGATGAAGTTGAGCATGCTGGGGCGGATGCAGGGGTGGATCGGTCAATCCCCCTAAATTATCCCTCAAAATGCTGGAAATCATGTTTCCAAAGACCTAATTTTCAAAATCTCCTTGGGGAGCATGCCCTTGGGCAATTCTCCGAACCCCCCTTGACTAAATCCTGGATCCGCCCCAGACATGATAACATTAATTATCAAAACCAAGGTCAGGGTTATCAACCAAAGCCGAAGGTTGAGGCATAGTTAATCTATGGTTGAGGCAGATAACACAGTAAAAAGGTTTCATTGATAATTCATGATATCATGCAAAACCAAATTCAATAATTGTTTTATGGTATATCTTTTAAACAATCTGCAAAAGAAGATACTCTTCTCAGAGTTTACAAAAGGTTGAGAACACTACACATGCACATAAGGCTAGGAAACTAGGCAGACTTTGAATTCAATGTTATAAATGCAATATCCACCAGAAATATTGCCATCTCATGTCAACTTCATATCCTATTGTATATTGATCGAATGCCCTCAACCAATCAGATTTTCCATGATAAGTCTAATGTATGATAATATTAATTAAGAGTTGAGCATTTGCACCCATAGAGCATTTCCACTGTTTTTATGTAGACTACAACGTTACATCACTCTTTACCTGGCACATATCTCCCTGTTTTGTGCAAATTGTTTGTGCAGCTGCTTAGCTTCTTCATCAAGTTGTGTGGTAGACTTTTCCAATTCCTCAATTTTATGATTTTTCTCCTCAAACTGCTTCAAGAGGGCTAAATATTTGATAAGAGTTAACACTTATGTACCAAATTCTTGTGCAGCAGAATTGATACAAGTATAGAAATCATAGCTCGAGATTGATTGTAGAGGCTGGGAAATAAAAAAAGCTTTTTCTAGACTTTCAATTTCTGTGGAGGGGAGATGCAACCAGCGAAAACATTTATTGCAATCTGTGGAACCCTTTATCCAGCACTATTTTTTTTTTTTACTCACATTAAAATACAGGTTATTGAAAAATAACTCTTCCATAAATATTAAAGCTAAAAAAAGAAGATGCCTTGAAATACTCTCACTAAGTTTTTCTTAATCCTGTTAATTCTTATTCACTATTTTAACAGCCAATTTTCCTTTTTATTTTAGCCCCTCTGAATTAAACTCCCAAAACAATTTCAAATTTCCGGTATAAATATGAAGAAGATTTAAGAATTTGCGACGCACCATTTATTTAGTATATTTTCTTACCTGCATAACGCTGTTTCTCTGTCTCAATAAGGCGGACTTGTTCAGAATTTTCCAACTCTGTTTTAAAGAGAAATTTCGTCAAGACAGAGTTAGTCAAAACAAACACTGCACAACGATTACGTAACACAATGTAGCAATTGTTTGAGTTGTTAAGCAAAGAAGTTTTGAAAGCTTCATTTTCATTATGTGGAGACATACAGATCATTCGTCTACCACAAGATTATCTCAGATTATCTTTCAAACACATTAACAAAAAACTTTCTTTTCTCTTTTGTCACGAAATGATAGGAATTTCTAGGGAGTTATTTTTAAGTAATTTACGCTGTGTCTACATGTCCGGCAGTCGATAGGTTTTTAAAAAAGATCTTTAAAACACTTTCACCTGCTCTTTGAATAAGCTGATCAATTCCCGGTGAGCACTGCTGGTGCTGTGCAAGGGGTTGTTGAGGAATCAAAGGAAAATTCGATTCTGAGGTCTGCATTTTCAACACAGACAGTATTTAAGTGCAGCTAAATGTACACTGTAGACATTTCCTTCTCCCGCTTTTCCTTTTTTTTTCCTCATCTGTTTCTCTGACGACACTGCTCGGTAAAGTGGTATCCGCTCTCGTTTTAGCGCCAAAATTTCCCGCCTTTTTTAGGAAGACCAAACGTTAATGATTAAGGAGAGCTCTTCAAAAGGTTGAAAATGATAAAAAGATTGAAAGAAAGACAGAATAAAAGAAAGTATATAGAAAAAAGATGAAGAGTAATCTTAGTTCACCGCGGAATTGGTTCAATTACCCGCTAGTAAACCGGATACGTGACAGCTTCTTTTGAGTTATTGAGAAATCCCGAGGAAACCGCAATATTCAACATTACCCGGCTCAAAGAGATTTAGACGAATCATTAATGAAGATTCTATTTAAAAAGAGGATCAGAATAATATTAATATACGTTATTACTCGACTCGGGCAGTCAGAGGGGCCAATAACTAAAATCAACCAATCAAAATGCACTGTTGCCGGTCAAAATCCTCTCAGTATTGGACCGGGCACTGTCCCGAATGGTCCCGAATGATACCGCACTTGTGTCCCTTTGAACTTCAGTCGTATAATAAATCTATTAACCAAGCTTGCTCGGGACCGTACTGGAAGAATATCGGCCCTCGGTCTTTTTTGTACGGACCTCGCTGCACTTGGTCCGTACTGTCAAGACCTGGGGCCGATATTCTCCCAGTACGGCCCTCGCGCTTAGTTAATAAGATATATGTATTGCATGTTTGCATATTTACCGTCATTCTTTCGGTTTCTGTGGAGGACTGGATAGAAGATCGAACAAAGAACGGAACCGGAAGTTAATGAAAATATAAATATAAAAAATGTTACAGAGATACAAAACGACACAATTAATCCCTTAATCCCAAAGAGTGATTATCAGCTAATTTCTCCTTAAGACATCACACCTGGATTTATCATTGAAAGGTCATGAGAATGAGAGGAAATGATCGCCAACTAAGGAAGTCTTGGGTATTAAAAAAATATACATCTTCGTCTGTAACCGGAAATTTATAGAGCCAGCGTGGAAAACGTGCATTTTTATGTCAATCACGATAACTGGAAATACCCAGATCCCTAAAAGTGGACCTAATGCATTGTTGGATTCCAGTCGTTTTTCCCCACAAGGACACATAAATTGTGATATTTTCACATTCCTCAGTCTAGCTAGTGTGTCATTTTTATGCCTGAAATTAAGTTAAATGTTTCAATTTCCAATGAGTTTGCTGATAGGTTTTTGACCAATCAGGGTCCCTATAGTATCTCAGTTATTATGTAATGTTTGTTTCCCAATATCGTTTGAAATGAGTTCATTTTTCCAGCTCTGAGCCCTGAGCAAAGCGGAGGATTTGTCCAAATACGGGAAGTCCTGGGGCGGATCCAGGATTTAGTCAAGAGGGGTTCGGAGAATTGTTCCCCTTCTGAGGGGTCCAAGATTTTGAAAATTAGGTCTTCGGAAACATGATTTCCAGCGTTCTGGGGGGAAAATTTAGGGGGCTCGACCGAACCACCCGAACCACCCCTGGAAGCCTGGATCCGCCCCAGGAAGTCTTAAACTGAGGACGATGCGACGACTTTCGAATCAACGATGGGCTAAGAATGCATGAAAGAGCTGAATAAGCCATTTCCAAGAGTCCTCGGGGCTCTGTCTCACACGAGGGTAAGTAAGAAGCTTTACTTCGTTCTGAGAGCATTTCACCTTTTAGCCATTCACGTGTAGAATTCTCGAAAAAGGTGGGAAATTTCGGTGCTAAGATAAGAACGTATATATCAATTTGTAGTTTCGTCAGGGATAACGACACAAAAAAGTGAAGGAAACGGTTACATTGAAATACTTTTTCTTTATTCCATGCAATATAAACTGTTTTTTGTCTTCAAGAGGAAGGTTTTCCTTTTCAACTAATTATTCGAAAAAAAAAAGAGTTTATTGGACCTCAAAATTCGGGCAGAAGGTCTCACAAAGGCTGACATATGTATTTCCCTCAAATCTAATGGGTCAAACCGGACATTAGCGGGCAAGAATTGAAGTTCTTCCGTCCATATTCAATTAAAAAGAAAATATGTGCAAAGGCCGTGAAAATAAATTTTTTTTCCTTTTTTCAACGGATTTGAACGTTGGACTAAAAATGAGTGAAAATAAAGTAAGCCTAAATGTTCGATATTTTCAGATATTCAAGATGAAACTTTGAAACTTCATTAAGATTTTATAGGCACTACTTTGAGAGGAAGAATTAATTTATGGGAATTTTTTTCCCAGGTTCATAACAAGGAAACGAAGGGGAAAAAACGGGAAAAATGGAAAGAGTAGAAATAAGAAGAATGAGAATTTTGTAGTCCATGACTCATCGCGGTCGCGCTTTATATATGGGAGGGCCTCAGCAAGATTTCAGGGTCCGCGCCTTCGTTTGCAATCCGCCGAAAAGGAACCACTCCCAACGATTGTAGCGAGCGATTCTTCTACATGTTATAAACGTAGTTTTCGACGAAAGAGAGTTGTGGACGCCGTTTAAATAGTACATGCAGTTCTCTGGGCCGGTGGTGATTGTGAATTAGCGGCGTTTGGAAGGATTGGAAGTGGCTACAGGCGTTTGCGTTTACTTGGCCCAATTTTGCCTTGTAACTTTCGGCGCAAGTTTCAACTAAAAATCGATTCAGAATGCAGCAGAACCAAAGCCATGGTGCGGGTGACATCGAAAGTCTCAGGCAAGAAGCAGAAGTACTAAAAGCGCAGATCAGGGTGAGTATTTGTGTTATTACTCCATAACAGCCAGCCAACCGGCCAGCAAGTGGGTGAACCATCGAACGAACGGATAACACATTGATCGCTTTCAAAACCGTGGTATTTATGGTTTGAGAAGTAGGACGTTGATGATCTAAGTTTCCAAAAAGATCATACGCGAGCTTTGTATCAGTTTCACGACGATGTGATCCAAAATATGTTCTTTCGAGACTGTTTTGTTGTTAGTGATCGCGAAATTTGTTCTTCGTTTTGTGGAGGTCGCCATTATATTAGAATCTCGCGGCGAAGTGCCACGCGAGCTCTGACAATATTTCAGCTTTGCCGTTCGATATTGTAAAAGGTAATCAGTATTTTGACGAGATGTGGAATATTTTCCACTATTCCTTTCCATGTTTCGTCTTTCCGATGTGATCTTATGTCTAGGAGCGAGAGATATCGAAGGAAAGTTTTTCTCTCGCTTCAGTATTTGTATTTATAGTGCACACTGGCAGATGTTGCAAGAGACCATTTCCATGTTCCCCTACGAATATTGCATTCATTACGCTCGAGATCACCACCAGGAAAAGACTCCAAAGGTCTTGTTCCTCCTCTGTTAAAGCGATCAAAACTAGCATTCTTAACTTAAACGAACAGGGAGGTAAATTTTGCAAGTCGAATTTTGTGGTCGGAATATACAGTCGTCGGCCAAAGTTAGCACCGTCATCTCCGAGATTCGAAGCAGCGAGATCATTAAAAAAAAAAAAAAAACAGAGTTGTTTCAGAAATGACGCTACAGCCCTAGGTTTTTTTTAATAATTTTTCGTTATGTCCATGGAAAAATTAAGTAAAGATTTGGAATTTAAAAAAAGAAATGAACTACATTTCTTGAAATGGTAAGCCATTGAAAGTTAGTCTAGTTTCATCATCGCTGCGAGTCTTTTCCAATGCCTCTCGATTTTCGCCACGTCTGTTTTTCTTTGGATAGCCTTCAGCAAGTCTGGTCGAGAAAAGTGTCAAATATGGGGAGCTTTTGCGGTAGTGCTGAATAAACTATGAGTTGTGCTTTGTGCTTAAAAGTTCATTGGCATAATGTTCGAAATTGAAAGACTGACTCTCTTTGTTTCGTACAGTCAACTCAAAACGGAAGCTTCTACCTTTCGAACTCCTCCTTGCCATATCTTTCAAACAATATCACTCTTATAAGAAATTTTTTTACAGCGAATAAACTCAAATCTAAGTCAGTGAAAGGTCTAGTGAAACGCTTGGATAATGCTTTTTCTCGATCAACGATGTATTGCTACTTATGAATATTTCGACGATTACGAACCGTTTCTCAGTTCTTCAATCGAGTTGAGGTGTGTCTGTAAAGTTTCTGATCATATTTGTTATGTCATAGCTTTGATCTATGTTTTTTCCATCTGCCCTGACTTTTTCCGCGAGCGAACAATTTAAAAACATCAGGCGAAGTGTGAGCAATCCAGACGTTTGTTCCGATTGCAATGGCCCCCGTCGGCATCTTGAACGAAGTCGAACATTTAAACCGCACCATGGAAACTATGAAACACAAATTTGTTTTGTTAGGAGAGCTGCTCAGCCAAAATGCGGTTCAGAAAGAAAATGCTACTTTTGCAGCGTCTTATTATTTAAGAACGAGCATTTCTTTTAAAATGAAAATATCTTGCATGCACGATTTTCGTTTGTTCCGTAATGAACTTTCGTAACGTGTTTTTTTTCGTGATAGTCTGCAGATGGCATTTCCTTCTCTAAGATATGTCGCTTCAACAAGGTAAATGGTGAAATTGTTTCAATGAAACGTTTTTCTTGTATACAGATATCTTTCGTGGAAGTTTCAATTTCTGTTGACACAGGGAGAAGTTGAGCATTTTCTGTAAACAAAGCGGCTGGAAGTCCTTGCTGCCACAATTCTGTGTTTAGCTTGTGTAATGTGGATGCTCGATTTAAGTCTGTTTGATTTTATTTAACTTATCTTTTCTTCAAATCGATTTTGTATGCATGCTCGATCCTTTACTCATGATCAAAGAAATGTTGGCATTTTAAGCTCGAGGGTAATTTGTCTTAGCAAATCTCACAGGGCCAGATTGAGACTGTTCAAAATGAGTTTTATTTTTTCCACTCTGTCACAGATGTTAGCTCATCGAAGACTTAGTTACACGATGTAACAGGTGGATGAGAGCCATTTGACCTATTTTTCAAAACAATGTATAGTTTAACACATTGAATGGCTCTATTTTCAACAGCATGCAAC